CCTGTACAAATTACTTCCGTGTAATCTTCACAGGTGGTGTTGGAAAAAATGGATCAACAATAGCAGTGAGTACATCTTAAGATTTCCAGCAATTGTTTATACCAGGACTTGGTTTTGTAATTGCTTTTTCATTTGAATTGTATGAAATACTAGTTAATTTAGAGTTTCTGCTTAGTTTTAAATAAAAGTGATATCCAGAACTTCTCAGTTTTATCTGTACATGCGTATGTTTATACACTTACATGCATTTCTTTGTGCATGCATACACAGACACATGTGCATTTATACACATACATATGTTTAAAAGTATGATTGGGGGCACCTGGGTGGCTCAGTCGATTGAGCCCCTGGCTCTTAGTTTCAGCTCAGGTCATGATCTGGGGGTCCTGGGGTCGAGTCCTGTATCAGGTTCCACACTCGGCATGGAGTCTGCTTGATATTTCTCTCTCTGTCTCCCTCTGCCGCTTCCCCACTTGTGCTCTCTCAAAATAAATTTAAAAGTAAAGAGAACTATGATTTGCTTTGTAAAATAAACCTGGTTGTGTAAGTAAAATCCTCAGTTTGGGCCTTACCAGCCCTGCTGCTGCTTTCTTCATTAGCTGGTCTGGTACTCAGTTACAGATACTGCTGGCTGGCAGGCACCGTGAGGTTCTTAAAAATTTGAGCTGATCTGCCTTAAGCAGATCCAAGTAGTATCTGACAGTATTGCGTGTTGTTAATCCCTCTCCTCTCTTTACTCTGCACAGGGAACAAGCGTCCTCTCTCCTTTTCTCCATATTGGATCAGTGATTACGCTAGCTGCAATGATCTATAAGAAATCGGCAGTTCAGCTTTTTGAAAAGCATCCCTGTCTTTATATACTTACATTCGGTTTTGTATCTGCTAAAATCACTAATAAGCTTGTGGTAAGCACCAGAGTTTTTATTTGTTTTGTTTTTAACATTCATCTTGGTTTGGTTTTATGGCCCTAGTTTTTATTCCATAGCTTTCCAGTCAGTTCTAGAGTTTGCACTCCTCCATCAACATGGGAGCCATTTTTCTCTTTGAAGCTACAGCTTGACATTACCAGAAGCTCCGTGGACCTCCGCCTGGACCTCTGCATGGACCTCTGCAGCACTTCTTTCTACTGCAGCTTAATTTGGTGCTTTAGTTTATGTGCCTTCTCCAGTCTTAGTCTGTACACTCAAGGCTCTTTATGAAACGCATCTTTTAGGGGGCTTTGCTACATGGGCTGTCCCTTAGATGTATAGCTCTTACCCATGCTTCTTGTCAGTTTTATAGTTTTGGAAATGCAACTTTTTATTAAGTATTGCTAAATAATCCTTGAAACTTGCGATTTGAGCACAAACCTGATTTACTGTGTAGCACACAGTAGCTCTAGCATGAAAGCACCTGCATCATGGTTTCTCTTTCATTTGCAGGTGGCTCACATGACTAAAAGTGAAATGCATTTGCTCGACACAGCTTTCATAGGCCCAGCACTTTTGTTTCTGGACCAGTATTTCAACAGCTTTATTGATGAATATATTGTACTTTGGATTGCCCTGGTAAGTATTGTACTGTGTCCTATTTCATGATTTGGAAGCCACTTGTTTTCTTGTTTCTGTCGGCCAGTCCTCAAAGATAGATCATATAATTATCATGATTTGGTATGCCAGAAAGAACACAATTAGGGGACTTGGCAAGAGTGCCTTGTGGCTTCGTCTTTGAGCCATTTTTTTCATTATTCTTATTAGTCCTGCCTTTGTCAGGGCTCAGAAACTCCAGATTTCTGACTAAAGTAGGAACTGACAAATTACGTCTTGTGGGCCAGTGACCTGTTTCTGTAAATAAAGTTTTATTGGAACACAGCCATGGCCATTCATTTCTGTATTGTCTGTGGCTGCTTTCGTGCTAGCATGGCAAAGTTGAGCAGTTGAAATGAAGACAGAGCCTAAAATATTTACTGTCTCTCTGAAAAAGAGTTTAATGATCCTTAGTGTAAAGGAAAAACCCTTGAGGAAATGAAGTTATTAAATCATATGGAGTTGAAGTCAAATCTGAAAAGAAGGGAAGAAAGTCAGAGAAGCCCATCCTTTTTACTTTCAGGAAGCTTAGGGATGGCCTAAGAAGGTCCTGAGAATCTAACAGTGTCTCTTCTTTCCAGGTCTTCTCTTTCTTTGATTTGATCCGCTACTGTGTCAGTGTTTGCAATCAGATTGCATCTCACCTGCACATACATGTCTTCAGAATCAAGGTCTCTGCAGCTCATTCTAATCATCATTAATGATGTTAACTCGGTGTTATATAGGAACCTTGTGTTTTCTGCAGGAAAGAATCCAAACATATTGAGGAGAATGGGGTGGATAAGAACAAATATAATTTATAATAATCAATGTTGTATAACTTTTCGTTATCAGTAACACTCCTTAACTATCCTGTGTGAGAATGGGAATTTCAAGTTCCATCCTGTAATTGTACATGTTGTCATACAGGGTTTGGCCCAAGGAAGCATGCAGGAAAATTTGCCATGTGTTTGTAATTATCCTGGATTCAGAATAAAATTGTCCTGGGGAGCAGATCCCCAGTGGTGGAGATTTCTAATGTAGAATATTTGCAGGCCAAAAGATGGTTGCTTTATAATTTTAACAAATCATCATCTTTTAGTGACGTCCTTGTTTCGTGTCTTCTCAGGCTTTCTTTAACTAAGGAGCTCAGCTTATGGCACATATCCCACGAGATTGTGAGATGGAATTAGTGATAAAGACCTTGAATTTGGATTGAAAGGTTTCCTATCTTTACATTGTTGAGGAAGTCATTATTTTATTGCTCAAGAAATGGTATCTCTCATGGGCTTGGGAAATCCTGTTAGCATGCAGAATAATGTGGTAACTTTGTTGATCCATTTTATTTTTTTAAATAAATATATGACCTGAAAGCCAGCCTTTTTCTCAATTTTATTCAGTGGAAAGATAACTAAGTTTTGATGTCATTTTTTAAAATTCAAGCAAAATTTATTTCTCTTCTTTAATAAATAAGGAAATTCGGTCAGCTGCTTTGTCATTATGTGTCCTGCGATCTTTCTATTCTGTTGAAGTTGTTTAACTCAAAACCTAGGAGAACTAAAAAACAGAAAACAAAAAAATGAAACATAGGAGAACTGTGTTCATTTTCCCTCTCAATAAGTTTTGTTGTTGTACTTGTCACCCTTTAGATTATGGCTTTTTTTTTAAAGGCTGTATCATTAATTTTTATGTATTTATTTTTAAAGATTTATTTATTTGTTTGTTTGTTTGTTTAAAAGAGAGAGCACAAGCAAGGGGAACAGAAGAGGGAGAGGCAGAAGCAGGCTTCCTGCTGAGCAGGGAGCCCAACTCGAGACTTGATCCCAGGACCCAAGGATCATGACCTGAGCTGAAGGCAGATGCTTAACCAACTGAGCCACCTAGGCACCCTAAGATTATGTCTTTTAGGAATCTCAGGCCTTTCTCCCAAATTTTCAAGAAGAGAGGCTTAGGCCTCTCTGGGCAGTTATTGAAAAGTTGTACTCCTGTTCTGGCTCCTCAGTATACTATAGTTTGAAATGAGAACCAGATATCTTCATTAACTATAATCCAGATCTGTTTCCATGGTATGTAGATAGTACAGTTGCTTGACAGCAGAAAAGAAACTATTGACTAAAACAAGATATCTTCTTACTGCTATTTGTTTATACTGTTTCCATGATCCTGGGTGAACAGTAGCTGTACTGCCTCAGCTGGTAGGCAGAACTCTGCTTTCTTGCACTTTTCATGTTTCCATTAATCCCATGTAATCTTGAGTAGCAGTGACAGTGAAACCTTCAATTTCTTGGCTATACTGTTGAAGTAAAGAGAAATCTCTCTATTTTTGCTCACTAGCAACTTCTCCAGCATCTGGGATAGAGAAGTGCATGCAGGAAAATGCCAGGGCACATACGCACATTACAAAGATGAAAATTCTGGGGCGCCTGGGTGGCTCAGTGAGTTAAAGCCTCTGCCTTTGGCTCAGGTCATGATCCCAGGGTCCTGAGATCGAGCCCTGCATCAGGCTCTCTACTCAGCGGGGAGCCTGCTTCCTCCTCTTTCTCTGCCTGCTTCTCTGCCTACTTGTGGTTTCCGTCTGTCAAATAAATAAATAAATAATCTAAAAAAATAAAAAAATGAAAGTTCTGAAAGACAAGAGGTTTCTAAAAGTTTCCCATCCCTCACGGTATTGAAACAGAAGCTGTCATTAGAAGTATAGAGGGAAGGGCACCTGGGTGGCTCATTCAGTTAAGCCATTGACTCTTGATTTCAGCTCATGTCATGATCTTCAGAATCATGGGATTGAGCCCCACATCAGGCTCTGTGCTCAGTGCCAAATCTGCTTGTCCCACTCCCTGCCATGCTCACTCGCTCTCTCAAATAAAATCTTAAAAAGGAAAAAGTATGGAGGGAAGATGGTTGAGGTGACCACTAAACTCCCTTGGACTCTTAAGATTATAATACTCTTCTTTGGAAGGAGAAAAATGGCAGAGAAACAATCCCTCTACCTTCAGCTGAAGAGTTGAACCAGGCTTCTCAAAATAACCAGGTAGGAAGCTGGATGTCTACAACTGAAGGCTCCAAACCGGAAGTGATGGGCAGACCTATCTATGGAGGCAGCGTAGAGCTCTTCCCTGGCTTCTGGAAGCTGAAATGTCTTACCCTTAAGTTGCCCTAGACCACAGATGCTTCCCTGGCCAGCAGCCTTTCCTCCCAGGTTCTGGAAGGCACACCTGACTGGAACAAAGAACTGTTGCCCCGTCCCAGTGCTGTAGCTATTTCTACCAGTGTCCCCCACCTTCCTATTAGAAGCTCAGCTGCTGACCCCCTAGTTCGCCCACTCCACACACAGCCCCAGAGTTCTGGGCCACTATGCCTAGGTCCCCCACTCCCAGTCCAGTTGACTCTCACATCTGCAGCCTCATACTCCTGGTTCTCCACACCCCCCAGAGGGGAAGCCAAAGATAACACGTAAACAACAAGGAGATTGTCATCTTTATTCTTAGCTTCACATGCCCACAGACTTCTTTTTTATGTGGAGAGACTGAGCCTTTGGGCCACAACTGCTCTCCGTGTTGAGGGTTTAGTATAGTGGTTCCTGGAGGAGGACCGTCACAGCAACTTCGGAGGCTCCCCAACGCCTGTGCTACTACCGTCTGCTGCTCTGCGTCTCCCATGCAGGACGTGCCCCTTGGAGCCCAGCCCTGTGAGCACAGAGCTTGGAGCCTTCCAGAGTCCAGAGAAACTGATTCCAGGGATCCCAAACCCAAGACGCCAGCTCAAAACAAGACCTGGTTACCAGGACTCAGAAGAAGGCTGTGGATTCTGGAGGCGGCGCGCTTCGCCAGTCCCGCCGTGCTGGCAGGCGCCAAAGTCCAAAACTGGCCTGTGAGTCCAGTCCCTCCTGTTGACCACAGCTCTTATTTCACAGTCTTTTCCCTTGATTTCTTGTGTTTCTTCTGTTCCTCATATTCAAGTATCTTCCGTTGGAAGTACCCTGCAGGTTCAGATACAGGTGTTAAAGGCATGTCGCCTGGCCACGTGGACGATGATAAATTCAGGAGTAAGAATCCGAAATAACCTCTCTGCTCCCCGCGCTCCCCTGCTGCACCTACATTCCTGTCAGGATCCCCATGTCCTCATGGGCCCCTGGAGAGCTGGGTATTCAGTTTGGCCCAAAACTGGGGCTACAAAAAGGATTTTTTTTTTTTTCCAAATAGAATAATTAATAGCAGTTGGCTCCAGATTAAAACAAAGAGCAACTTCCACAAAATGGCATCCCAGAGGCACTTTCTGAGGCTTTAGGTTATTTCAGTCCCACCCTACCGACAAGACTCTTACCCTGTAGGCCTCCAGAGCCAGGGCCACACCTGACCTAGACCCTCCTTGGGCTTTGAATGCGAGGGACCCGTCACCGTATACCTGCAGGAGGAGTCCGGCTCTTCTCCGCTTCCTGGATGAAAAGGGAGAAGAGCTGTGTCTTCACAAACTTCTTCACAAATCGGCGGTTGGCCTTGGAGTTCAGAGCCTTATAGAAGGCCCGTTCTTGGAAGTGGCCTTGCCCGTTTGCCTCCCGCTTGATGTAGGAAGCATAGTGTCCCACCGTCTTGACAAAGAACTGCACAAACGGGCCCGAAACATGCTCATTGAGCTGTTCTGAAGCTGCGGGACACACAGAGGCCGTCTCAGAAGAACCACCCACTCCTGCCTCCGGGGTGGCTTCCAAGGCAGGCCGAAAGTTCCCGGGGAGGCAGCTGGGGTCAAAATGGGAGACTGGGTACAGGTTCTCCACCATTGCTTGGGAAGGATAAAATCTCACACTCATACTTGCCCTAGAATCTAGGCCCCTGGGACCAGTCCAGGACTGCTGAGTGAGTCCATTTTTGTTCTGGCTGGGATGGTTGGGAATCCCGCCCTCAGGTTCTGTGGAGAAACCCAGAATAAGGGGGACCCAGGACTTACTCCATGGCTCATTGGTCGTCTGACCAAGGGAGTCCAAAATGTCATCCTGAAGCTTAGGTGGAAGGATCTCTTTTTCGTCACCAACCTAGGAGAGAAGAGCTCAGAAGTCAAGCAGACTGGGAGGAGGTGCAGTGTTTGTACAAGCCTGAGGGGGGCATGGAACTTACACCCCAACTCCACCCCCAAGTTGGCCACATGGGTGAGAAGCAACAGAAGCTGCTGCTTGCCTTTCCATCAGACTGTAAACATTAGCGAGTCTCCCCTGCATCCCTATGGCACAGGGTTTACATCCCTGATCTAGAAGCACCAAAACCAATTGCCTGGTAGTGGAGCCGTCTTTGCCAAGCACTCCTCAAGAGAGGTCTCACCCAGGAAAAGCATTTCAAGTTTGTGCGAGTAGGTGGAGCACGGGAGGGACTAGAGCGATGGAGTTAGGGGTGGGCCTGCAGGGTGCCGGAGCCCAGATACTTACCGACATTAAGAAGGTTCCTTCACAAAGATTCACCAACAGGACCTGAAATAAACACAGAACGAATGGCTTTCTCTCTCCCCATCAGAGACCCCAGGAGCACTTAGCAGCTGCATTTTTGCCTGTGGCTGCACCTGTCAGCCCAGGTGGCAACAAGATCAGCAATTCTCCCTTCCTGCCTGATACCCTCCTTTCTCACCATCCTTGGAAACCCCCGGTTGCCTTCCTGGGAAAAGGTAGGAGGGTGTAGGAACAGGGAGGAGGAGTGCTACGGTAGGAGGGAATACAACTGGGGAAACCACAGCCAGTCACTCCCTTAATGAAACACTGATCCTAGGAATGGCTTCTATATATGGCACGGTTAGCACATGGCACACACGATAGGCTTTGCACATCTTCTCTCGTTCAATCCTCCCCACAGTCCTGTGGAGGGAAACACTATCCCCATTTTGCAGATGAGGCAAAGAAGTCGCCCAAGGTCCTACAAATAGTAGAACCGGTTTCCAAGCGTAGATGGAGCTGTTCTAGATACCGCATCCCTGTCCTCCCCATGCCTTCAGCTCCCTGCTGGTCAGATTTCGGCCAGCACCGGACACCTTTTGATTTTGGGGTTTTTTTTTAATGCTTGCAACAACTTGATGTACAATTGCCTGGGAGTCCAACTTTAAAAACTCCCTGGGATCTTTGGGCCTTCCCGCAGGAAATAGGAAGAGAAAGAAATGTGCCAAGGGCAACAGGAACAGGGAAGGAAAGGCAGTGAGGAGACCATGTGTCTGCAGGCTGTGCGAAAGGCAAACACAGGGCTGGCCTTTGAGTTCATCACTGCCGAGGGGCCCTCCGTCTAGACCGGACACTATAAATTGGCATCCTGCTGGTTAGATTCCAACCTGCTGATCTATTTCTCGGAGCCTCAGAGTACTATTAAATAATCGGAGTTGGTTTCCAATATTTAAATTGGAAAATTTCACATCAAGTTCGCTTTGGGTGCTTCTAAAAAGTCAGTGGCTCTAAAGCTGGTTGGTCGACGACGTTTCTAAAGGACGGCGTTCGGATGGAACAGAGGGTAGCTGCCTCCCTTAGGCAAGGTCTGTGCTCCACAGTTTACCAGGAACCCCCAAAGCCTGGGCTGGCCATTTAAATGCCTGCTGGGCCTGTCTTTTCCTTTAGACTCTGGTCTTGTCGGTACGGTGAACGCTCCTTCTATGCTCCCTTCTTCCAAATAAAGGAAAAGAGCAACCGGAAAGTGTGCCAAAACAGAGCGCAGGCAGTGTAATCATTCATCATCAGGGGAGAAAAGCTCAACTAGTTCAGGCCTGAGGCCACTTGAATACACAGGCTCGGATGCCTTTCTTTAATCAGGGAAGCCTGTTCATTTCAGGGAGCTAAGAATGTGCAAGTTCCCCCAAATCTTTCTAGTATTTGCCGTATTACTGTCTGTCGAGCAATCCCTTCCAGAGCTTTGGTGGGCAGAGAATCCCCCCACAGCCACAGTGGGCCCTGGCCCTCCCCCATTCCTCATCCCCTGCCCATTTCACAGAGTGGCTGCTGAGGACTAAAATGGGCCAAGGCTCTTGGATAGCAGGAGCTGCAGTCTGGCTGGCCTTGGGGTGTCTTCCTGCCTGGCTGTCGGGGGAGGAGCTAGAACTGCATCGTCAGCAAGTTTCATAATTCCTAGAGTTGGGACATTTTAAGTCATTGCCAAACATGGGGCTGATACTCTGACCCAGTTAGTCACATGGCAAAGACTCCCTCAAAGGGCCCGTCTACTCAGCACTTCTGAGGAGGGCTGGGAAGGCCAAGGAAGCAGGAAGGGAAACAGCCTGCTTCTTTACTTCCCAGCAACACTTTGTGTAATAAGGGCTTTGGTTCTGCCTGGGATGCTAGGTTCCTTCATAGCCTGTGGGGCCTAGAATATGTCAACTGAGTTCTCTGGACCTCCCTTATTTCATATGGAAGTGGAAGGGGTCCTCCCACCAGGGCTGGTTCCTGCCTCTTCAGTAGCTTAAGACGAGATCCCACCTCTTCCTTTAGTCAGCCCTTCGCACAGGTTAGCCAATGCAGACAGACCTAAGGAATCCTCTAGTAAGTTGATCTTCGGAAAGTGGCTACTGACAACTCAAACCAGAGTGCACGTTTTGAGTTGTCTTTCCAACACTGGAGATAGCTTTATGCTACCAATGCCCATTTTCACAACTGACACTTCTGGTGTGTCTGGGGCATTGCAAAGAAATAAGATGACAAAATCAAGTGGGATCTGGACCTATATTCTCATTGGCTGAGTGAACTCTGAGGTAGTCAGAAAGATAACCTGGGTTACCTGGGTGGCACAGCCTGTTAAGCATCTGACTTGATTTCAGCTCAGATCATGCTCAGGTTCATGAGATCAAGCCCCACATGGGGCTACACACTCCGCTTAAGATTTTCTCCCTCTCCCTCTGTGCATCCCCTGCCCCACCAACACTTGCGTGCACACACACCCCTTCTAAAATAAATTAAAATTAAAATTAAAAAAAGATAACTCTTGCTACACAAATCTGCATTTTTCAAGACTCATAGTTTATAGGAGGGCTACATTAGCTCACTTGCAAGGAATGCGAATGAATTCTAATGGGCTGTGTGTTGTATAGACCAGCTGTGTCTGTCCATTCAGATGAGAGACGGGACAGCCCAGAGCCTGCCCTTTGGCACTAACTGACCTAGAACAGCTGGATGACCCCTGCATGAGCTGCCCCTTACACCCAAAAGGAAATCGTTCAGCAGGAGGAAGCAGCCACTTACTGAGCATCAATTATGTTAGGCTCCAAGCTATGAGCTTTCCATAGGTTATTTCCCCTCCAATCCCTAGCTAGCTCTTGAAAACCACTGTCCCCATTTCTCAGATAAGCAGCTCAGGCTTAAAGAGGTGAAGCAACTTACTCTGAGTGACACCGCCCTTAGCCGCAGAGAGCCCAGGTCCGACTCCAGCGGTCCTGGCTCCGAGTTACACCCCCTCCTTCCCACACCGTACCTCTTCCATGGGGCTCTCCATGACCTGCTGCTGGAAGCGCATTTGGACTCCGACCATGAAGGGGGTGGGGCAGCACACAGTGTCCAGGAGTCTCTCAGGGACAACGGGGATGTAGGTGTGTGCCCAGCTGAAGGGGTAGAGTAGCGCGGCAGCAGCATGGATGCACTGAGACAGGGTGCTAGGGACAGGGCACAGAGAACACGAGTCACAGAGGCCTCCCCGCACCTCCACCCCTGCGCAGCGCCCACGGCCCCTTCCCCACGGACCGGACCGTAGAAGCGAGTCTGGGAGCTGTGCAGGTTGCTGTGTAGCTGGGAGGGGAGGGACGGAAACCAGGAGAGGCTGAGGCTCCTCTCATCAAAGACAGGGCTTCTCTCTCTCTGAACTTTCTTTTCCCCATTAGTCTTCTCTCTCACCCCCGCACAAAACTAGTGGCCCCAAAGAGGAGGAAAGAGGAAATGCCTTCACTCGGGCAGATCACTGGGTGAGCCCATCTATAGGCTCGCCTGGCGCTAAGGATGTGGATACCAGGAAGTCCAAGGCACTGACCCGGCTTGACAATCTCACAGCGTAGTTAAGGAGACAAACATGTAAACAGTGGAGCAGAGCAGAGAGGCCAAGCCCCATTTCCTCCTCGCGGCTCTCCACCCTCACCCCCAGCCTTTAGGTCTCACAGCTCCCTCTGGCCCCTCGAGGTTATTTCAAGTGAACAGGTCGATGCCTGAGCTAGTCTGGGAAATTCCTAGATTCCAGGAACCTTTGCCCCGCGACTGCCAGTCGGAAAGTCCCAGAGAGGTGAGCCCTCCACCCTTCCAGTAAAGCATTCCCTGTGCGATTACGGCCTCAGTGGTGGCTCAGGCGGACTCCTCACCCCGCCCTCCAGCACACACACCCAGCCTCGCTCTCTGTCCTCTCCACAGCCTCTTCATGACTCTTAGTTCCTCCAAACAAGCCTCAAACCAAGGCCAATAAAAATACGGATGCCGAAACCCTGTTTCAGTTCTTGGTATGGAGCTCATACTTCCTGAGTTAGAAAGATTGGGCTTCTGAGGGTCCAGCCAAGGCTGAGGCTGCCTGGAAGTCCCCTCCCTGCCTGGGCTTCGGGGCCCTGACAAACGCAGTATGGGAAGGAACTGGGGAGTCTCGGGATCTCCCTGGAGAAAGTGAGCACCTGAGAGGCAAATCCAGCTTCTGCCTGGATCCAGATCAGCTAGGACCTGGAATCACCTTCACTTCTTGAACACTCATCTCAGGGGAAAGGCAGGAACCCCAGCTCTAGCCACAACAGAACCTTCTCATTTTTCTACAGGGTTGAAAGTGGAAGCACTGTTTCCAGAGCAAAAGATTACACCACTTCCCTTAAGGATTTGGCTCACAACTAGTGCCTTTTTGCTTATCACTGATTTTGCAAAAGGTTCAACCCACAGCCCTTACTCCCTGCCCAGACTTCCTTTCCTCTAAAACCCATGATATCCACCTGACCCTCTGGCCTAACTTTTGAGTACCTAACATCCTTTTCTTCTTCTTCCCTAAAAGATAGAACCAGGGATGTCAGCCCAATCTCATTGGCTTTCTCCTTCCCACACAGCCACAGAAGGTCAGCCTCCCACTCTTTTCATGCAATTTTCTCCACCATTCTGTCACATGTCTCCCAAGGTTTCTCACACTTGAAGCCCCTAAGAGGCAGAGACCAAGACATGACAGTATCCTTCTTTGACTATGCCCAGAGATATAGTCAACAGAGAACTTAATATTAAGGGTATCAGCTAGCTTTTGCACAGCAAAGGAAACCGTCAATAAAATGAAAAGGCAGCCTACTGAATGGGAGAACATGTGCAGATGATCTAATCTGATAAAGGGTTCATATCCACAATATATGAACTCCTACCACTCAGCACCAAGAATCATCACCATCAGGTGATTAAGTAATGGGCAGAGTACAGTGTGGAGATTCCTTAAGAAATTAAAAATAGAGCTACCCTATGACCCTGCATTTGCACTACTGGGTATTTACCCCAAAGATACAGATGTAGTGAAAAGAAGGGCCTTATGCACCCCAATGTTCATAGCAGCAATGGCCACAGTTGCCAAACTGTGGAAAGAACCAAGATGCCCTTCAACAGACGAATGGATAAAGAAGATATGGTCCATATACACAATGGAATATTACGCCTCCATCAGAAAGGATGAATACCCAACTTTTGTATCAACATGGACGGGACTGGAAGAGATTATGCTGAGTGAAATAAGTCAAGCAGAGAGAGTCAATTATCATATGATTTCACTTACTTGTGGAGCATACGGAATAATATGGAGGACATTAGGAGAAGGAAAGGAAAAGTGAATTGCGGGAAATCGGAGGGGGAGACGAACCAGGAGAGGCTGTGGACTCTGAGAAACAAACTGAGGGTTTGGTGGGGGAGGCGGGCTGGGGGTTGGGTGAGGCTGGTGGTGGGTATTAAGGTCACGTATTGCATGGAGCACTGGGTGTGGTGCATAAACAACGAATCTTGGAACACTGAAAAATAAAATAAAAATAAAATAAAATAAAATAAAAATAAAAAGTGTTCGTGTAGTAATCCTAAGTTCCAGAAAAAAAATGGGCAGAGGACCTAAGTAGGCATTTTTCTAAAGAAGACATGCAGATGGCCTAACACGAAAAGATGACCCACACCACAGATTGTCAGGGAAATGCAAATTAAAACCACAATGAGATATCACTTCACTCCAGTCAGAATGGCTAGTCTCAAAAAGACAAGACATAACAAGTGTTGGCGAGGATGTGGAGGAAAGGAACCCTCATGCACTGTTGGTGGGAATGCAAACTGGTGCAGCCACTGTGGAAAACAGTATGGAGGTTCCTCAAAAAAATTACAAATTGAAATACCATACAACCCAGTAATTCTGCTGGGTGTTTACCTGAAGAAAACAAAAAAACTACTTGGAAAAGCTATATGTACACCTATGTTCATGACAGCACTATTCACAATAGCCAAAATACGATAACAACCTAAGTGCGACTGACTGATGAATGGATAAAGAAGAGGTACGTACAGTGACTATTATACATTATGTGAAATAATGAGATCTTGCCATTCATACCGACATGGATGGACCTCCAGGATATCACGCCAAGTGAAATAAGTCAGACAGAGAAAGACAAATGCCATGTGATTTCACTTCTATGTGGAATTTAAAAAACAAAACAAGACAAACAAAAGGAGAAACCGACTCATACATACAGGGAACAAACTGGTGGTTGCCAGAAAGGAGGTGTAAAGAAGGACAGGCAAAATACGTGATGGACATTAAGAGATACAGACTTCTAGTTATGAAACAAAGAAGTCATGGAGATGAAAAGTATAGCATGGGAAATAGAGTCAATAATATTATAATAATATTGTATGGTGACAGGTGCTGACTACACTTATCTTGGTAAGCATTGCATAATGTCTAGAATTGCTTTTTTTACAAGATTTTATTTATTTATTTGATAGAGGGATCACAAGTAGGCTGAGAGGCAGGTGGGGGCAGAAGGGAAGCAGGCTCCCCACTAAGCAGAGAACCCAATGCAGGGCTGGATCCCAGGACCCTGAGATCATGACCTGAGCCGAAGGCAGAGGCCCAACCCACTGAGCCACCCAGGTGCCCCAATGTATAGAATTGTTGAATCAATATGCTATACACCTGAAATTAATATAACACTGGATGTCAACTATACTTAATAGAAAGTAATTAAAAAATAAAAATACATGAAACAAGTAAAAATAAAGAACCCCACCTCCCAAAAAAATCCCAGCTAGCTCTTATCAGTATGTGTGTGCCTGCTAGAGTGGTAGGTACCTGATGTGTGCCCTATTTCATTTAACCCTCGACACAGCCTTATGAGGAAGGTACAATCGTGATCTTGATTTTACAGATGTGATCATGACTTCAAGAAGTGAAGAAACTGACCTAAGGGGAAGCACATAGCTAAGGTAGAAGAATATATTGGATTGGAACCCTGTTCTGCTGATTTCAACACCTCTGTTTTCAACCACTATAGAATACTACATACCCTAAGGTCAAAGACCAGGTCTAGTTTGTCTGCATCTCCCTGATGTTTGGCATCTGTCAGACAGTTGACACACAATAAATGTTTGTTGAATGAGTGAATAATGGATGGATGAGATGTGTTTGCCCTTAAGTATAACGGGCTTGACCTCCATACCAATATAAGCCTTCTCACCCTGTCCTATGCCCGCGCGCCCCCCGCCCCCCAAGCCATCACATCTGCACCTGCTCTGACTGGTCTCTGCCTCAGCTGTCCCAGGAATACTTTAGGCCCTGCTCAGAGATAAATCTGGAACTTTTTTCAGGCACAGGAAGCAATCAAGTTTGGAGGCAGAAGCAGGGGAATTGCAACAGGTGTTTCTCTACAAGGCTTAGTACAAAATCAGACCTGGAGGCAGGAGGGTGAGCCCACAGGTCCTACAGACTGATTCCCTCAGAGAGCCCTCCGGCCTGTCCCCTGAACCCAGGGATGCCAGGCAGCCCAGGAGAGCTGCTCGGCAGCTGGACCCACCTGAGACCTTCTGCCAGAAAGATGATTCTTCTCTCCAACACCGCAGATGCAAAGATCTGAAGGATCTGCTCAACACTGAGACACTTTAGCAGAGAACTAAAATCCACGTGTTCTAGGTGGGAGTCCAGGGGCCGAGTCAGAGAGATGAACTGCAGGGGAATTGGAGAGAGGAGGCATCACCACGCTGAACAGTTGCAAGGTCCTGAGTTCTGGGTCTCCACCAGCCTCTGCTCCTTTCTCCCCACCTGCCTACATCGGATCCTGCCCCTCCCCTCCTTTCCCTCAAGCTCGGGGCTATGCTGACCCATCCCCAGCCTGGCCCACAGGCTGGGAACCCCCCTCCATTGCACACAATTTCTGCTTGAGGGCCTTCCCAGCTTAGGCCCCCCTGGGTCACTCTTCTTGTCTCCCCCTCCCTCTGTCTCAGAGGCCCCCCCCCAATTCGATGTGTGTTTCCCATCATGTACCCAGGCAGCATCCCGTTTCTTCCCTTTCATCACTGTCACACCTTTATAAATTCTGTACTTCATTTGTGTGTTTAACATTTAACATCTGTCTCCCCCACTAGACTTTCAGCTCCAGGAGGTCAGGAATCGCATCCATTGTACTCACCACTTTCCATCCAGAAAATAGTACAGCTTGGAGCATGGCAAGCATTCTATGCTTATTTTTGGAGAAAGGGAAAAGCCTCGCCCCTTATTTTTATGTGGGGGAGCCAAAGTTCAGAGGGACACACCGATCTTCCACAGTCCCCAGGGTCAGGCCTGGGATGCTTACAACAATGTCCTACTTGCGACCTCAGTGGGCTTAGTGCCTGCAACGGTAGCATCGCCATGAGGCATGGGTGGGGACACAGGGATGGGGATGGATGACAAGAAGACAGATGGAGGCCATCAGATAGAGACACTGGACAGACACAGGAAGATAGAGGGGAATGGGAACAAGTGGCAATTTAGGGGCTGCGGGCAGCATCCATTCTAGCACCAGGAAACTCAGCTTACATGTGTCGCTATAAATACAAATCTTGGTGACTTGAACAGTAAGGAGGTGCTTGGGAGGATCCGAAACCATGGGTTTGATTTTCAGCTCTGTCAACAAGTCCCGTCGGGCCCCTGTCCCCGCCTGGCTGTCCCCAGTCTGTCTGTGCTAACCGGGTGGACGGCAGGACTAAAAGAGCAGCACCTCCCAGAGGCTGCCCTCTCCAGCCAGGGAGGGGCTCACACCCTCAGTAACCCACCTCCGTGCCCGAGTCGGGGATGAAGCTCTTGAGAGTGACGGTCTTCCCAGGAGCAGGGAAGGCCGCCTCTCGGAGGCCCTGCATGAAGGGGTAAATCACCGCAACAGAGATCTGGTCCCTCTTCTCCACCTCATCCAGGATCTGCAAGGTACGGGACCTCAGGAGGCAAGGCTCAAAGGCAGCCCCTGGGAGGTGGCAGAGGCCTCCCCCACTCCACTACCCCACCAACCCCACCCCTGCCTTGGTCCAGCCAATCCTTGAGGACCTTCCAGGCCCCTCCGCCAACTGCTCCCCTCTCCTCCCTGGCAGAACCCAGGCTGCTGTTGATCTGCTGCAAGAGACCTGCCACCTTCTTCCTCTTATCCTCTTCACCGGTCCCCATTCCTCCTAGCGCCCCATGTAAACTGCCTTCCCCCCAGGAGTCCTCCCAGGGTAAGCCATCATCCACGATGGCACCATGTCCAGTCAAGCTGGATGCAGTGGGAGCCTGGAAACCTGGGCAGACTCCATCCCTCAGAATCCTGTGCGGAGGAACACTCCAGCAAGCAAAGGCCAACAGTGTCCCACCCTCATCCTCCCAAGGGCCTGCTGGAGATAAAGCACACTGAAGCTCTTTTGTGGCCACCAAGACACGCCCTGTCCCTTCTAAGGACCTACTCAGGTGTCTTGGCACTCCAGTTACTCCGGCAGGAGAAGCCCTAGAGACCTCTGCCCTTGGAGGAGTCAGAGGGAGTCTCAGAAAAGCATGTTATGACTCTGTATAGTGATTGTCTTCATATTTGCTCAGTGTTCCGCATTTCTCCTATCACTTCATTCGAGTCTCACGTCAGACCACGAGTCAGGGAAGTGAGGGATGTCACACGCCTTTGCCGGATGAGGAACAGGAAACTCCTGCCTCCTAACCTGGGGCTCTCCCTGCTGTCCCACTCCAGCTGCTTTCTTCCCTGACCCGAGGCAGGGCCTGGGCTCTCTGCAGGGCAGGGGAGACAGTCCCCTGGGTTCAGTGCCCACTTTTCTCCAAAATCAAGTCGAGCCCAAGCTCCTCTTTGCCTTGGTTTGTCCACCAGTGCTGAGAGCAGAGCTCTGCTTGGGGCCCAGGGAGCACAGACAGGTCAGGCAGCCAGGCAGACCCGGGAGCTGAACAGGCCCAGCAGGCCCCGGGGAATCCCGCTGCACCTGTACCTTGGAGAACAGGCCGAAGCAGCCAATGCAGCTGATGATGCAGTACACCTTTGGGAGGCGAGGGCCACGGCCGGTGGGCTGGAGAGGGACAGAGAGGCTCCCTCAGGGCCACTGCCTTCCCCAGGGCTTCTCCTTACTGGGGATGATGGAGCGCAAGGCCAGAGGTGGGGACTGCGGGACTCAGAGGGGTAAGAGGGGTCAGAGGGAGAAAAGCGTGGCCGGGCAGAGGTTCTGTACAAGGCGTGGGCAGCAGGGAGGCCAGAGCAGCCCCCAAAGTCAAAAGCAGATGGCTTGGAAGGGGCCAAACACTGCCGCCATCAGTGCCAGCACCATCTGGGGTCTGCAGAGAGAGGGAGCAAGCGTGCTGTGGAGATGAGGGACAGGCTAGAGGCAACAGCACTGTACAAGTGACTTGGAGAAGCCTCTGGAGACCCAAGAATCATTGAATTCCAGTCCCTGCTCCAGGAGGCTCAAGGGGCCAAGGCAGCTAGGCCTGGGTACGGAGGCTAGAGGGAGGATCTGGTGGGAACCTCTCACAAGATGAGCTGTTGGAAGCCTGGGGACAGCAGAGACCACAGCCGGGCCAGCAAAGGTCCCCTGGGTTGGCAAGGAGGGGCTTGCGTCCCTGTACTGCAGGGGTACAAAGGGCGCTAACATGGCAGCAGGGGATGGACCGGGCTCTCCAGGCAACCACCACTGCCAGGGAGCCATGGCTTTTGCAGCTGAAGCTCGAGCACGCCCAGCTGTGGAGTGCAGTGGGCTGCAGAGAGGAGGCGGCAGTTCTGAGTGGCACAGACCAAGAGGCGCCTGCAGTAGCCGATCTTCCTGCTCCCATCCACGTTGGTCAGGACGAAGGAGAAGGTCTCCCTGAGGAAGAGAAGACACGTGGTTTGCATTTACTAACCAGATCCTAAGAGAGGAAGGCGGTTGGCCTCAGACAGCTGCTGAGGGGGGTCAGGAGGGCAACGGAAGCTGCTGATGAATCATGAGAGTAATAATCACATCAGTAATTTATTAAGTGCTTATCGGTAGCTGGCTCTAAACATGCCCCCTCATTTCATTCCCAAAACAACCCATCGAGGTGGATTCAATTGTTATCCCCACTTTAAGGACAAAGGCATTGAGGCTGAGAAGATCGTTCTTATCCAAAGTCATTCGACTCAAATATTTTGAGGCAAAATCCAAACTCAGGCAGCCAAATCCCAGGCTGATGGGGAGGGGGACTTTGCCACACCACCTTCTCAGAAGCCAAAGGCCTTCCATAAAGTCCAGCTTTGGCCAGAAGCAGTCAACCATGGCAACCGTCATTCCCAGGACAGGTGAGACATTCTTGCCCTTCTCTGGACACAGGTGACTGGCGGGTCAACGTGGTTGGCCCAGGTCGTTGGCCCTGGGGGACTCCAGGCAAAATGTTTATAAGTGAGTCGACTCCAGTCCCTCCCCTTCAGGAGGGAAGTTGGTTAGAAACTGGTGTATACAGTGAGGGAGGGAGCCACAGGGCCCAGGGAGCTCGCACCTGTCTCTTCTCCCCCTGTCCCAGATTCCTCAGTCCTAAGCCTGAGCAGTTACCTGGGATACTCCGTGAGTGAGGCCCACTCATTGCCATCTGGGAAGCAGAACAAGGGGATGGCCCCGAGTAGCCGCTCCTCCTCTTCCTGTTGTCCCCGAAGCAGGTTCTCCCTCTAGAAGGAAGAGCAAGAGACCAGGCAATTGTGGAGGTCATGGCCGGAGGGCAGAGAGGGCCTCACGGTTGGCAGGCTTCTTTTGTGGCTCTAGGGCAGTTTGAGGATAAGCCTTCCTGCTGGCATGGTGGCTCAGAGTGTGCCTCTAACCATCCCTCCCCACAGAAACTTCATTCTGGCGCTGGATGAATCCCAAGGCTGAAACAGCCCCTCCTAGGCCAAATCTACATGAGCCCAAGTTAGACATCAGAACCCTAAGGACCTACATAGGCAGGAAGGGAGCCAGGGCTTCACTGAACACAGAAAGGCCCAGAGGCTGCCTGGCCTCCTAGGAGGGCCACGTGGGAGAGCTACCACAGCAGAGCAGAGTAGTGACCCGTTCAGCTGTCGAACCGTCGGGGTACACAAGAAGGACGCCCTATCCCCACCCTTGACCCTACCCCCAGAGCAGACTAGAAGGAGCCTGGCATTTGGGCTGCAGCCGCAGACTGAGCCTGCCCACCAGCGGAGAGCTGGCCCCACCCTCTCCTTCCCACCCACCCCAGAGAGGGGACACAGGCCAGGAGGTCTGGCAGAAGGCAGGCCTCTCTACAGAGAAGGGTGGCTGAGGACAGAATTTGGAAGAATGAGGAGGCCCCCCAAAAGGGGCAGAAGAACCAGACTCGTTTCTCTGCCAGGGAGCCCAGGTCAGTTCCTCACAAAGAAGCCAGACCTAGATTCTGTGGGTGATAACAGGAAACATGGCTGGGCCTGAAGAAAACGGGAGCACCGAGCACAGGGCGGCTCCAGACTCAAGCCCTGGCAGGGTGGAGTAGGGAAGAGGGCATCCCTCCCCGCACTGCCTCTCAAACACCCAGATCCTGTCTCACACTGCCTCCCCCCTTCCATCCTTACCTTGGGAAACTGGTAGGTGATGGTGGGCTCATAGTCAGGCCCCGAACTCTTTTTTTTGAGGGAAACCACGAGGAGGTATTCAAAGAAGTGTTGCCCTCCAGCGAAGGCGGGCAGACAGTGCTCCTGGGGCCTTTCTGTCTCCTTTACAGGGTCCCTTGGATTATCCTGAAGAGATCCTGAAACCAAGACACCAAGGCCCACTTGGTATTTCAGTGGCCTGTGCCCCAAGGGGTCTGTGTGGCTCCAGACAGCATTGCCCCTCAAGGCCACCACGCCGACGCCGAGATCCTGGGAGCCTGCCCAGTGACTTAGCGCCCGGAGCACGGGGAGAGCCACCCGGATGGTTTTCATGCCTGCGCTGGGAGATTTCTGAAAGCACAGGGAGCCAAGAGGAGAACAGAAACCGCTGATTTGGAAGCCAAGGAAATGTACTGGGGAGCCACTCTGGAGGCAGAGACTGGGCCCATTCAAAGGCGCCCAGGGCAAGACCCGAAGGAGGAAAGACTGGGTAGAGATGGACCTGAATCAGAGCAGGTCCCAGGGTCATGTGTCTGTGGCCACACTGGCCCCCATGGCTGGCATGACCGGCTCTGCAATCTAATACGGGAAGCATCCTGGCCTACGCACACGGGGGACCAAGTGGAAGTCAGGCTATAGCGACTCTATGTGGAAGAGAAGGAAGAAGCATTTCAAGGAGGAAACAGCCCCATGGGAGAGGGTCACCCTAGAAAACAGGAAGTGGGCAGTCCAGTCCAGACCTGCTCGGAGTCGAGGCAGCCAGCTGTGGAAGAGCCTGAGCTTCCCGCCTACCACTTGTCCTTCCATCTCCTCCAGCCTGTGGGGGGCGTGGAGCGTCTCCCCTTCCTCGGACACAGCCTGGCTACAGAAAGTCTAAGGAGTGGCTGCCGCTTCCGTCTCCAGCCACAACTCCATGAAGCCACGCCAGGCGCTACCTTTCAGAGAGGGGAGAGCAGCTTCCATGCTGAGCACCCAATGATTGAGCAAGAAGGATGTGACGGGACCCAGGAAGGCAGCTGAACGCCCGCGTTGACAGAGGCAGCATCCTGGCACTGCCGCTCTGACCTCAGCTCCTCCCAAGAGCCCCGGGGTGTGGCAAGAAAAAAGGTCATGAGCAAACACCTCTAAGGCCCAGCTGTTTCTGGGCTAAGGGCTTTGAATCCTGTGCTGTGGACTGTGCCCTGGGTTTATGGACAACCTCGGGACAGCGAGGAATGCGCAGCAGCGGCAGACTGGGCACTGGAACCTCACCAGCCCCAGGACAGGGATTTTTGTATTCCCGTAACTTTGATTCCTGACCTTTCACATCTCAACTTGATTCACTATGGCCAAAAAACCCAGCGAGGCCCCCCTGCTGCACATGGAAGCTTCCAGAACTTCAGGACTGCAAGCAAGCGCACGGTACCAAACCTTCCCCACAGCCAGCATGCCACTGCCTCCCCTGATTAAGATAAATAGACTCGGCTCATTAATTCCCTACATGGAAAATTTTTTCTAGCAAGTTGTGGAAATCGATCCAAACCTTAAAACCCTCCTCTCCCGGACGTAAAAAAGAGAGCAAATCCATCTCTGAGCCGGTGAGTTCCTGGTATGTCAGAATGATCTACCATGGTGCATCTCTTACCACCTATGATATATCTTTTTCTTTTTCTTTTTTTTTTAAGATTTTATTTATTTGACAGAGAGCACAATCAGGGGGAATGGCAGAGGGAGAAGGAGAAGCAGGCTCCCCACTGAAGGACTCCATCTCAGGATCCTGGGATCATGCCCTGAGCTGAAGGCAGATGCTTAACCCTCTGAGTCCCCCAGGCGTCCCCCTGCAATATATCCTAAGACTGACTTCTCTCACGGGACCCACTCCAGGGCTCCAGCAAAGAATCCCTCCTCCCAGATAGGAAGCACTGAGTCAGGACATTCCCCCCGTGGCCCACAGTAGGGGACTGGTTGTCATCAGCAGCCTGAGGCTCACTCCGTGACAGTGGAAAGCTACGAGGTGATCCTGGCCCCACCCCCAGTCCTGCTCAGTCTTTTTTCCCTGTGGGGTCAGGTCAATAGTTCTGCCCAAGCTAAGAGCAGAGCAGCTGGCCCCTTGAGCTCTAGTGGTATCTCGACGCTGTGTCTGGAGGCTGGGGAAAAGAGAAAAATAGCACTAAGTCACCTAGGAGTCTCACATAAACTTCCGAATGAGTAAATTTGTGGGCTAAGAGCCAGGAGGCAAAAGGGTTTGGTGGCCATGTCTGTGCTTCAGCAAAGAATTAGCAGACTTCTGGCAGAAAGTGGGTTGCTGGAATATGGGGAGATGGCTGCCTTGTTCTTAAGAGCTCCAGACCAGGCTTTTGTGGGACTAGTAAGAGCCAATACTCGGGGATCCAGACATGACTCCTGGGGAGAACCCTAATCACAGTAAATAAGGATGTCACAAAAGCTGTAATGGTGAGGACAATGACCCAGAACACTCAGAATTGTCACTACGTCTTACTCAAAACGTGCAGACTTGTTCACAATCCTCACGACCTGTCTGAGGAACAAGTATTGTCCTGATACAGATGGGGAAACTGAGGCACAGAATAATTCAGGGGCTATTTAGGGACTATTAACAGAGTCTGTTTGGAGTAGGAATTATGAGAGTTCCGTGTCTATGCTCCCACCTTCTGGCTGTAGTACACACCAAACATCCCACCAATGTGGGGCGCCTCCTGTTTGCAAAAGTCTTTGAGAACCCAAATCTTTTCACTGATCGTTCCAGAACCTCAGGAAATTATTCCTTTCCCTAAACCCTTTGGGTTGCATTTTCAGCCCATTTCCTCCTGCATTATCAGGAGAGCCTGGAGAACAGCAAAACTCACAAAATCAAACAAAAGAAGTTATTAGACTTTTGGGCTGCAACCCAAGAAATCCAGAAAAGGATTGCTTTCTTCTTCCTTTCAAAGAGGTTTATCAACACAAGAGAAAAGCAGAAAAGAAAACACTCTACCCTATTAATATAGGCCATCTCATTTAATCCCCAGGGCCCTGGAATGAAATTACTATCCTGACTTTTTCAGTTGAGGAGGGAGCCACCCTTTCCAGGGAAGTCAGGAGTCTGGTTACACTTGTTCCTGCACCAGGAAACTCCTCCCACAGGCACCCGAGTAAAGTTACAGAACCAGCTAGAATATAGGTGAGGGAACTTTCTGGAACTTTGATTTGGAAAGCTGGCTCTTCCTTTTCTAGCTCAGCAGCTCCCAACTCAGGATCACCCCCACTGCCACGTCTTCCCCCCAGGATGACTTACACATGCATGTACACACACACACACACACACACACAACCTCTTATCACACAATTGCCCTGAGGACAAAAGGGCAAAAGAAGACGGGGAACTCCTTAGAAAGGTGGAGGATGGTATGGAAGATGAAAAGGGCACACTCTCCTGGCCTGACAGGTGGCTGACCTCAGAACAGGTAATACAGGCTGCTCGTCTCACAGCTACTCCCATGCCCAGGTAGCTGCTTCAGCTGCAATCATCAGCCCAGTTTGGGGGCTGGAGTGAGTGGAAACAACTGGAATATCTCTTCTTGGCTGCAAAAAGCAGAACTCTTCCATTCACATGGATTTCTGAGAGTTAAGGGAGCCCAGTAAAGACCAGGCCAGTAAGTCTCCAGAGAAAAGAGGACAGTAGGGCTGCCAGAGTGGATGAACTCTGTTCTAATCATTGTAGTCTGGACCCTGTCCCCACTCTGGTCTCTGACCTCTTTGCCTTGAAAGGACCAGATACTGGAAGCCTGTGTTTAGGGTGAACAGCAAGGTCTGTGGGGGTGGGGCGGTGGGGGGGTTGCAGGAGTGATGGTAGAAGGGGCACTGATCTCATTCCCAGATTTCCCCGTTTCCCAGGCCTGGAGTAGGAAGGGGTCTCACTCAACTTTTTGACTGCCAATGTTAGACAGCTTGGAATGGCCCCAATTTACTCTCTAGTTGGCTACTTTCTCCTCAGTCGGTGGGACCTCTGGGCAAGTATCTAAGGGTTACTGCTGCCCAGCCACAAGACTGGCTACTAGCAAATCGAAATGTATGTTTGTTGAATGAATGAAAAACATGAATGAACAACTAATGGCGTCTGGCAAAGCCCAGTGCCCCTGCTAAGAAGAAAGGGATCGAAGAGTGACTTCTAACTGAAACCCCACAACCCTGTAATTATTTTCCCCTCACCTGGGGGGGAGCCAAAAGGGGGTGGTGGCGGGTGTCAGGAGCCATGGGAGGTGTGCCCTTTCTGGTTAACACACTCTAAGGCAGCAGCAAAGCACGTCTGTCCCCGGTCTGCTGGGGGCCACGCTCTCCCCGGCCCCGCCGCCACCCGCAGGTGGGGGTGGTCACGTCGGGTAGCCGAGTTCCTGTCTAGCTCAGCGGCGGGGCGGGGCAGGACTGAGGCGGGGGCTCCCGGAGGGCGCCTCGAGCACACTGCGGTTGCACCACAAGCTTCCTGGCTGGAAGGACACGTGGCCCCGGGGCCCCACAAAGGCTTCCTTTGACCCGCCACCTCCCCCTCGCCCCCAAGGGCCCGGCCGCTCTTCAGACCTCCGACCCCGCGGCCACCTGGCCGCGTCCCCTGCACCTGCGTCCCTCCTCCCGCTCACCTGGCGCCAAGCCTGCGCTCCTAGTGGCCCTCGGACTGCCGGCGGAGCCGCCCTCCCCGCGCCGAGCTCCCCCCGCCCCCAGAGCCCTGCCAGCCTAGTGGCCGGGCCTCCGACGTCCGTGCCGCCCCCGCGCCCCGGCCCGGCACTAACCCCCGCGGCCGCGCTTCAGTCTCAGGCTGGCTCGGAGGCGGCGACCGAGCCCGTCCATGGCCCGGCGAGTGCCCGGCGCCGGTCCCGGGTCCGCGCCGGCCCCGCCCCCAAAGCTCGCCCTTCGCGGGCCCCGCACTTTCGCTTTCACGCGGGGGGAGGCCGAGGGCACAGGCCCGGGACGAAGCGGCGCACCTTCCGGACTGCGGGCCAACCCCCGGCGCACCTGGGCGGGCCGGCTCTGCCCTCGGCCCCCCGGCGGGGTGGCGTGGGTGACAGAGGGCGCTCGACGCGCGTCCGCGAGGGGGCGGCGCCACCGCGCTCCCACCCTCCGTGGGGCACCCGGGGAAGTTCGACTTGCCGGAGCCCGCAGTCCCCAAACGCGCGGGTGCGACGCGGTCGCGCCCTACCTCCGCGGAAGGGCTGGCAGTGCCCACTGGGCACCCCTCTGGGCACCCGTGCCTCTTCCAGGTGGCTCCGGACTTAAGACGCACAGAATTCTCGGAGTCAGCACACGTTTCCACCTTTCATCTCTCCCCACCCCGCAGCCGCTTGAGCCTCTGACCATTTCCAGATCTTTTGCGTTCTGTGTCCTTGCACCCGCAGGGCACGCGTCCTTCCCTCTTTTCCCTGTTTCACTTCCGTAAGAAGCAGCGAGCCATCGAGCCAACGGCTGCCCTTTGGGCTCCCAAGGAGGGACGGGAGAGGCGCTTCGCCAGTTCTGACCCTGCCTTCCCTCCAGAGCGTTCTCTGGCAAATCAGCAAAGTGGGGGTAATTCCTGCCCTGCGGCCCCCACAGAGATGTGAAAGCTGAGGAACAGAAAGTTCTTTGTAGACTCTTCTGTGATAGGAATGTAACGGATGATGATGGTGGTGGTGGTGACCATGATGATGATGGATGATAATGATGATGTCAGTTGCAGCTGTCTGCACTCGGGGTCTAATCCCAAATCCCATACAGCCTTTCAGTTCCTCCTCCACCCTTCTTATATTCATTGGCTTCCAAACACACAGAGACTCCAGGCTTTAGTGGTCAGACATGAAAATTTGCATCTGATAAGACCCACTGGCTTGTGGGCCATCTGCCAGCTCCCTTCTCCCTCCCAGATGGGCCTCTGTAGGGTGGGAAGGGTAGGATGTATGCAAAGTCCATCTGAGGTGTCTCCATTCACACAGGTTTTAGTCTCAGTTTTAGTGTGGGAGGCAAAGGGCAGAAGACATAGCCAGAAATATGTCTGGGATCTATAGAAATGACCCTCAGACTTACAGCTCCTTTCCCTCTCCCATGAATGGCCTCCAGGTACCTCTTCTGTCACAGACAGGGTGGGTGAGCAGGAGTGGAGAATCCAGCCCTGGTATTAAACTGTCTAGTCTTTGCCAGGAGGTTCTAAAAGTTGTCTGTACTCTGGGCCTATGCAATTTTGTACTGAATTACATGGT